GGTTCCCGCTAAGGGCATGTACCTTGGTTGCAGTTTGTCCCCAGCCCTGGTTGGGTCGTGTGGGTGGCAACCACTCGATGTGTCGCTTTCACGTCGATGTTTCTCTCTCTCTCTCTCCCTCTCACTCTATCTGAACAAAAAAATATCGAAAAATGTCCTCGGGTGAGGATAAAAAAAAAAAAAAAAAAAAATCAGGTCAAGGAGTTTGACAAAGATTTTCATACCTCTTCCATGTATAAGAGGCAGCCTAGGAAATGTCTTTAAAAAACACTTCATATTATCATTATTTATTGCTTTCCATCCCCACCCCCCACATTTCAGATGGATGACAAATTCCTTGAAAACCACAAACTACCAAAACTGACAAAGAAAAATAAAAAATCTGAATAGTTCTTTATTTTAAAAATTATATTTGTAATGTAAAACCTGCCCACAAAGAAAACTCTAGGTTGAGATTACTTTACCAGTTAATTCTGTCAAACACCTAAGAAAAAAATAATACCAATCTTATGCAAAATTTTCTGAAAAGAGAGAACCTGGGAACATTTTTCAATTCATTTTATGAAGCCTAAAAACAATGATACAAAACCTAACAAGGAAATTAAATATTAATATTCCTTATAAAAAAAAATCTTAAAAATCCTTAAGAAAACATTGCCTTATTGCAGATGACATGATATTATGTATTGAGAACACTACTGATTCCACCAAAAAACTTTCAGAACTAATAAATTAATTCACTAAAGTAGCAGTATAAAAAAATTAATATTCAGATATCAGTTGCATTTTTATACATCAATAACAAATTGTTACAAATCAAAATAAGAAAAAACAACAGTCCCATTTACAATTGCATAAAAAAGTATAAAATACCTAGGAATAAATTTAACAAAGGAAGTTAACAGACCTGTACTCAGAAAACTATAGGACATTAAAAAAAAAATTGAAGACACAAAAAAATGTAAGATATACTGTGCTTATGGATAAGAAGAATTAATAGCATTAAATTGTTCATACTACCCAAAGCAATCTGCAGGTTCAGTACAATACCTATCTAAATACCAATAGCATTTTCCACAAAACTAGAACAAATAATCCAAACGTATATATGGAACCACAAAAGACTCCAAATAGTCAAAGCAATCTTAAGAAAGTAAAACAAAGTTGGAGGTATTAGCCTACCTGATATCAAACTATACTACAAGGCTATAATAATCAAAACAGCATGGTACTGGCAAAACAAAACAAAAAAAACACATAGATCAGTGGAACAGAATAAAGAGCCCAGAAATAAACTCATGCCTATATGGTCAATTAATTTATCACAAAGAAAGCAATATATAATGGGGTAAAGACTGTCTCTGTAATACATAATGTGGAGAAATTTGGACAGACACAATGAAACTGGATCACTTTCTTAAACTATATACAACAATAAACTCAAAATGTATTAATGATTTAAATGTAAGAGCTGAAACCATAAATAAATAAAACTCTTTGACATTGCACTTAGTAATATTTTTTTATATGCCTCCTCAGGCAAGGGAAAGAAAAGAAAAATAAATAGAACTACATCAAACTACAAAGCTTTTGCACAGAAAAGGATACCATCAACAAAACAAGACAATGTACTGAATGGAAGAAGATATTTTCCAATGATTCATCAATAAAGGGTTAATATCCAAAACATACAGGGAATTCATACAACTTAACATTAAAAAATCTGATTAAAAAATGGGCAGAAGACCTGAATAGACATTTTTCCAAAGGGACATACAGATGGACAACAGATATATGAAAAGATGCTCAACATCATTACTCATTAGGGAAATTTGAATTAAAATCACAGTGAGGTATCACTTCACACTTGTCAGAATGGCTATCATCAATAAATCAACAACATGTTGGTGAGAATGTGGAGAAAAGGGAACCCTTGTACACTGTTGGTAGGATTGCAAATTGCTGAAGCTACTATGAAAAACAGTATGGAGGTTCCTTGAAAATTTTTAAAAAGAACTACCATATGACCCAGCAATTCCACTGCTAGGTGAAAGAAATCCACCACACACCACACTATGCTCATTGCAACATTATTTTCAGTAGCCAAGACATGGAAGCAACCTAAGTGTCCATTGATAGATCACTGAATAAAGAAGTGATACAACTGGCTGGATGGCTCAGTTGGCTAGAACACTGTCCCATATACCAAAAGTTTGCAGTTTTGATTCCTGGTCAGGGCACATACCTAGTTTGCGGGTTCCATCTCCAGTTGGGATGCATATAGGAGGCTACCAGTTGATGTTTCTCACATTAATGTTTCTCCCTCTCTCTCTGTCTCTTCCTCTCTCTCTAAAAAGTTAATAAAAACATACCCTTGGTGAAGATTTTTTGCAAAAGTGGTACATATACAGTGAGATATTATTCAGCTCTTAAAAGAATGAAGTCTTACCATTAGCAACAACATGGATGACCTTGAGGGCATTATGCTAAGTGAAATAAGTCAGACACAGAAAGACAAATACCACATGATATCATTTATATGTGGAATTTAAAAACCAACCAACCAACCAACCAAACAAACAAACAAACAAACAAACAAAACAGAAACAAACATAGATACACAGAACAAACTGATAGTTTCCAGATGGGATAAGGGTACTGGACATGGATCGAAAAGGTGAAAAGAATAAAAAGTACAAATTGCCAGTTTGAAAAACATCATGGGGATGTAATGTACAGACAGGAAATACAGTCACTAATATTGTAATAACTGTATATGGTGTAAGATGGGTAATAGACTTATTGAGGTGATCACTTTGTAAGTTATATAAATGTCTAATCACAAAGTTGTACACGTGAATCTAATAATATTTCATATCAACTGTAATTAAAAATAATTCAATAAAAACAATATGAGAATAATATTTTAAAAATAAGATTAAGGCCCTCCTTTTCTTCTCCAGAGATTTGCTTATACTCCAGAGTAAAGATGTGGTTTCTCTCCATATAAAAGAATAGGCAGGCCCTGGCCGGTTTGGCTCAGCGGTTAGAGCGTCGGCCTGCGGTCTGAAGAGACCCGGGTTCGGTTCCCGCTAAGGGCACGTACTTCGGTTGCAGTTTGTCCCCGGCCCTGGTTGGTCGTGTGGGTGGCAGCCACTCGATGTGTCCCTTTCACGTCGATGTTTCTCTCTCTCTCTCTCCCTCCCACTCTATCTGTACAAAAAATTGGAAAAATGTCCTCGTGAGGATAAAATAAAATAAAATAAAATAAAATAAAATAAAATAAAATAAAATAAAATAAAAGAATAGGCAGGTCACCAGATGACCTATTTTCATATCTGAGTTTTTTAAACTCTGAGTTCTCTTGTAATACCACTGCACATGCAGGTACCATCTGTTCTTCAACATGTTACCCTGTTGGGACTGAGGCTCAGGGAACTGATGTAAGATGTTACTCTAGGTGCTGTTTTTGCTATCAATAATAATAAACTGTCTTTGTCACTTACCCAGAGGCCAGTTTTCTACCAAGATATGTACATAGAAAAATGTGACAGGCAACTAGCTTGTAAGAGGCGAATAAACTCAGACCCTGCACAGTTTCTGACTTAACAGTTGCCCCTTGGTAAATTCTTCAAAATAGAACAATCAATAATATGGGAAAATAGGGCTATTCAGCTAGCTAGATTTCATTACATAGACTCTTGGGATTTATTTTTTTAGTTTTGACTTGGGCCATCTAGGATACTGGACAGCAAGTAGTTTCCAAAGATTTTTTTTATAATAATTGTGATTGTCCTTATCTTTTTCTCTTTCTTAGACATCTAATATCCATGTATTTAAATGCTGCCACAATGCCACAATTTATAATCATAAGGAGGCTAAGGCATTCATGGTCAGTCTGTTTAGGGGCTGAGTTTGACCAAAAAGGTGGAATTAAATTCTAGCAAGAAAAAAAATGGTACAGACCTAGTATAACTCAGTTGGAAGTATTCCCAAATAATGATAAACATAATACAAAAAAAAGTATTTTATATATGTATGTCACAAATGAAACAGCTATGGTCTCCTGGAGAAGCCATAACTGGTTTAGTTGATGTTTCATAATGCTGCCCAAGAGCAAATACCCTGACTGGTCTCATTATATCTTACACAAGGAAAGGAAAAATACTAATTTCACTATTTAGAATGTGTCTATGTTTTTTCTTTATCTGCTTTTTTCTTTTTCTCATATATAAATTCTGTTTTTATATTTGTTAGATAAGGTCAATCTATTATTACTCTACTCTGTATCCAAGTAAAAAATGTGGTAATAATTATGTCTTCAAATGATTCTTTGACAGGTGGTAATAAAGCACTGTTCTTTCTAGCCCTGGCATACCCTACTATTCTCATGTTGTTTCTCTATATCCTAGATAAATAATCCACTTTTTAAAAACTCCTCAAATTATCCCATCTTGAATATGTCACGTGCATCCTGCTCTGAACCTAAAAGATACATTTTATATGTATTAATACATTTAATCTTTTTAACAACATTTTATCCTCATTTTACAGATGAGAAAACAGAGCACAGAGACTTAAGTAACTTTTCTAAGATCCAACAGCTAGAAAGAAGCAGAGTTAGGATTTGAATCCCAAAGAATCTGACTAGCATTCAAAATAAAACACAAGGAGAAAAACAATAGAATATACAAACAAAACCAAGAAAAAAAGTGTAAGTGTAAAAGTATACAAATGAAAGTATACGTGTAATAACATCCTAACCATTTGCTAACAACATTAAAAATAAAAACACTATCATACGTTTGATATCAAGAACAAATGATCATAATTTATACTTAAATTATTTTTCTTATGTCATTTTTTTTCTCTAATAAAAATCCAGGTAAGGACTTCTTTCCATATTTAGAATTTCACTTAAGTATTTTAAAGGAAATATCTAAATATTTCAAACACATTAGATAAATAATACAAATTAGAAAGAACGTTTAGCTACTTACATTCCATATGCTGAGTTTACAGCAAGACTAGTAATCTGTTGGGGGGGTTCACCATCCACCCACACCAACTGAATAACAAGTTCTGCTTGATAACCTGGAGGCATCCTCACTGGTCGTGTCTTAACACTAGAAAAAAAGAGAAAAAGTAGTTCTGTTAATACAGTTTAATAAGTATGTTCATGCTTATCTTCACAATTTACATAAAATCTTCCTACGAAATATACAACCCCAGGCATTAAGGGCAGTATGCAGCTGGACAATGTCTTCTAGCTTTCTCAAAATACAATAAGCCACCTGTGATTGCTTAGGTTTTTCATTAAGTAGCTGTTTAGTCAGGTCCACAACTTCAACTGGTCTTTATTACTTCCTTTTTTTCTTTTGAGAATAGTATTTTTAATTCTTTTTATTATTTATTTTTCTTATGAAATAGTTGTTACATATTTTAAGTTATAATGCATAAAAAAAAAATAACCATCTATCTACCAAATCTACCACCCAATGTAAGATTTCAACATATCCAAAACCAGAATTCCTGCTCTTTCCCTCTAAATTTGCTCCACCTGAACTCTTCTCTATTCCAGTTGATAGCAACTTCTATCCTTCTAATTATTCAGTTTAAAAAGAAAAACACTTAAAAATCATTCCTGACTAATACCCTTGTTTCATACCTCACATCCAATCAATCATTGAATGCTGATGGTGTTATCTGAAAAATGTATTCAGTATATGACTCCTTTTTACTTCTCTATAGCTACTATCCTGGTTACGATTAACAAATAAAAATACAGGATTTCCATTAAAGTCTGAATTTCAAATAAACAATACATGGGTTTGTTTTTTTTTTTACTATATGTATGTCCCATGCAATATTTGGGATATACTGAAACTAAAAATGTCATTGCTTATCTGAAATTCAGATTTAAAGAGTTATTTTGTATTTTTAATTGCTAAATCTGCAAGCCCTCAACATCATCTCTAGTTAGGTGCAAGCATCCTCCTTACTGGTCTCCTGGTTTCTACTCTTTTCCACCATCTCAAAATCAATTTTCAACATAGCCACCAAAGTGCTCAATTTAAAATTTATGTCTGAACATGACACTTCTCTCTTTCAAACCCTACAATGACTCCCTATTTAATCAGGAATAAAAGCCAAAGTCATTACAATGGCTTTCTATTGCCTGACTTCATCTCCTACTACCCTCTCCACTAGTCTTATTCTCTTTGTCCTAGCTATACTGACCTCCTTATATGCCAGGCACTTTAAGGCCTTTGCTCCAGCTGTTCCTTCTGCCTAGAACACTTTTCCACCATGTCTTCTTCAGCTAACTCCATCTACATTTTGTTTAAATCTCATCCTCTTAGTGAGGCCTAGGATGATGACTATCTATTTTATACACTAGGATGCACAAAGGCAAAAAATTTAAAAATTATTAATTGCACAAATATGTGTATATTGGTAAGAATTTGTAATGTTGCTAAAAATTAAGCATTGCCTTGCTGAAATGCTTATTTATTAGCTAAAATATATGGCAATCTAATCCAGCAAAGGAAAAGTGATTTACGGATGGATGCCAATATATAATTTATCAAAGCATAGATTATATGCAACTCAAAAACCACTTGTAATAAGATGTAATTCATAGAATAATATTCTTAGATCAATTCTGCTGCTTGGTTCCTAGGACCTTATATACAATAATATAGTACTGCACTGATTTTTTCACTTTGATTCTCTTGATTATCCTTAAGATTGTATTACTTCTCAAGTCAACATTAAATGAAGCAGAGTGCAATGAGGGAAAATTGAATATATAACATTATAACACTATGAACATTTTCATTTGCTAAAATTTTATGATAATATTTCCTCTTTGTAGGTTTTCTCTATGTAATTCCTGCTTATATTTCCTTTTTGTACTTCACAAGAAAAATTTTTGGAGGAAAAACAATGATTACAAAAGTATAGCAACTGCTAATTATGTGGTAAACTAATTTTGCTTCTGAAATCTTATTTTCAAATTTTCCATAAGTGTTTTCTTAAGAAATGAAGAAACTAGTTGTTTCAAGTTTCTTTAGTAGCAGATTCAGACATTTTCATATGATGCTCATAGAAATTCTTTGCTTAGGCTCAATTCTCCAACCAGCTAATTCAGAAAACATTTTTTTTTGATAATGAAGAAGCAGTGAGTAGTAATTTAAAGAAACTGCGTTCCTTTATATTTGACTACTAAAAAGCATAAAAACAATTAAGATAAATATTACTATGGTTTAACTAACTTGAAGTTTTCTTTGATAATGACACTAAACTTTGATTAGATATAGTGAGAGAACAGTTTACTACCAAATAGCATCAGTCAAAAAGAGAAAGACATATTACACAGTATCCTAGCAATCACGAGAGAGAAATGCTTTTTTCTAAATGGTATTCTTTTTTTAAAATATGTTTTTATTAATTTTTTACAGAGAGAGGATAGAAACATCAATGTGAGAGAAAAACATCGATCAGCCATTTCCTGCACTCCCCCCACTGGGGATGGAGCCTGCAACCTGGGCATATGCCCTGACCAGGAATTGAACTGTTGAACCAGGACCTCTCAATCCATGGGATGATGCTCAATCCACTGAGCCACCATAGCCGGCCTAACACAATATTCTTATGTTAAGTAGTAAACTTGGTTTCTTTCAATTCCAAGAAGGCTGAAGAAATTCCCTTAACATACTTTTTAATTTTGAAAATACCTAACAAGTGGCCATGTTTATGCCTTGATGAAAGTTTATTAAAACCACGTTTTCTTCTTTTTTTTGGGGGGGGGCTTGATCAGAAGGACTTGGGCCCCCCACGAGCAAACCGTGTTTTCTTTAGGGTCCTTCCAGGAAGGAAATATATGAAGTAGTAAGTGAAGGATGAAAATATTGTGTCCTCTTCAGGGATATTCAAAGAAAAAAACAGGGTACCGTATGGTGGACTATTAAGATCACTTGACAACAACTTAATAGGAGAGAAGAATGATTTGATTTGGCACAGTTTTAAATAATCATATGATTCATATGTAAAATTGTTTTAAAGTTTGGTAAAAACTCTTACTTGAGACATGGGATACTGTCCTTTGTTGCTCCTTCACTAGCCACAGTGTTAGTGCTCCCAGAAAGACTCCTTGAAGAAGGAAGCTGAGATGAAACATCTGGAAATGGAGGACTTGTTTCTGTTTCTGGGGTAATAATATCTTCAACATCATATTGAAGTCGTACCTCTAATGACTTAAAAAAAAATCAAGTTTAAATTAATCTAAGTTTTGATAATAAATAATCACAGCAAAATAGCTGATAATTTTTGGTAAGTATTCATGATTTTTTCTGATTAATAAGTTCAATTTCAATTTATAATATAGCTGAGATATCCCAAACTGAATTAAGCATTGAATTATATGACATAAATGGCATTGACAAAAAATGTAAAATACTTTTTAATCCTCCAGAATTATAAGAAAACTACATACAAAAGTGGAGATAACATTTTTTCATATAATAAATATTCCTTAAGATAAAGCATAAATTACAATCCCATAAATGATAAAATAAAGGTAAAAATTTGTCATGTTTACTCCAGTGGAAGAGATTAAACTGGATGTGTATATGTGTGTGTTTGCAAATTGTTATTTATACAAGGCTTTTTAGTTTTAAAACAGTTTCCTTCAGTTTTGACTTTAACTCAGTAACAATTTTCCAAAATAAATTCCCTATTTCTATTTGTTTGTTTCATTAGCTTAGCTCGTCTTTATTTGATTTTATTAGCTTAGTCAGAGTTGCTTAATGAAAAACATATGATAATTTATATTAAAATAAAAACATGATCCATGTTTTTAAATTTATTTTCCTTTATTGATTTTAGAGAGAGAGAAGAAGGGAGAGAAAGATAGAAACTTTGATGAGAGAGAACATCGACTGGCCCCCTCCTGCATGCGCCACACTGGGGATTGGGCCCACAACCTGGGCATGTGCCCTGATGTGGAATCGAACCAGCGACCTCTTGGCGCATGGGTCCACGCTCAACCACTGAGCCACACTGGCCAAACCAAAACCCCTTTTTAAAAATTAAAAATGTTTTAAAATTAAGTACTTTATTATTGCATTTAATGCTTTATTAAAATTGATTTTATAACAAACATTTGCTTTACAATGTAAAAATCAGCATTTAAAAAAATTTTTTTTCCCTTTATTGACTTTAGAGAGAGAGGAAAGGAGAGGAAGAAAGAGATTGGAACATTGATGAGAGAAAACATCAACTGGCTGCCTCCTTCATGTCCTCCACTGGGGATTGGGACCACAACCAGGGCATGTGCCTTGACCGGGAATCGAACTGGCAACCTCAACCACTAAGCCACACCAGCAGGGCAAAATCAGCATTTTTGAGATTGAAAATAATTGTTTACACAAATGTCATTATGGGATGGTGAATATAGTAATATTACTAAAATGACTGTCATAATTATCTTAAAACTATAAGAAAACCTCTAGTGACAATAACAATAATTATTGGGTGCTTACTATACTTAGACACTATGTTAATGACTTTATATAATTATCGCAAGAACCCTGTAAAACTGGCATTTCTACTTCTAGTTTATTGTTACCTTTCATTTTATTTACACAGGAAATCAAATAGGTGATAGAATTAAGCTTTACCCAGATCTACTACTGACTAATGGAGCCTTGTGACTTGCTCAGAGTCACAAACATATTCACTGGTAAAGCCAGAATTAAAACCTAGGCTTATCCAACTCCAAAGCCTGGGATTTTAACTAATATACTTTAAAATGGTAATACTTTAGTTGTTAAGGTAAAGGAGTTATATACACGCTGTTAGTAGATAATCTTTATTTTCTGATAAAATGGTAAATTGGACTGGGTAGGGTGGCCCATTATTTATAGCTGCCTTAATTTAGATTTAATTTATTCCATGAGAGCATTGTTTCTGTTCTTGTTTTTGTTTTTTTAGAGAGAGGGAAGGAGAGAGAGATAGAAACATTAATAAGAAAGAGAAACATTAATGGGCTACTTCCTGTGCGGCCCCCAATGGGGAGTTAACCAGGACTTCTCAGTTCATGGGACGATGCTCAATACACTGAGCCATACAGGCTGGGCCATGAGAGCATTGTTATTTTAAATATTAAGATTAGGTAAGTCAACCCCATAATTACTTTCACTGTATAAAATATGCTGTTACACAGGAAATCATGAAAAAAAATCTTATTGTAGTTCAATCATATATGAGATATAATCATATATAAGACAACCAGTTAAGTGACAAAAAAGACAAGTAAACTTTTAAAAAATTAATAAAGGTATAGAACAAAGCCTGTATTAATTTCATACTTATACATGAAATAAATCAATAACAAATCTGTATAGAACCTATAGGCATAATTCATACTATTAAATAATACCAAGTTTTTATAGAGAACTGATTTTTTCATTTTAAGCCAGGTTTTTAAAATTTGTTATACTATGCAAAAAGAAGTATTAAAAATCCTATGAATTGGGTTATTGGCCACATGCTGCAGTGTTAGTGGCTTAAAACCATATCAAGTACTAACCCAAATCTATGATAATGGCTTTCTTTTAATTAAGTGTGAAAGTGAAATTTTAAATGACTTACCACTATTTCTGTGGTGATTTCATGTCTGCTGAATTTATAAATTATAACATACGCAGAGACTCCAGAAACACAGAATATTCTGCTCTCTGGACACCAGTAAATCATCTGAATGGCATATGGATCTTCTTCTACAATTTCACATGTTTGTTTTCCTTCTCCTATCTTCTGTTTTTCAAACACTTTTGAAGTTTTTAGCTTGTACAGCATCTGCAGAGTTACTGTAAGATATTGAAGCATAATTATCTTCTAATTTAAACTTAATTCTTAAATGTTGTTGACGGTTTTTTCAATATATTGGTTAAACAATGAAAGTAAAACTCAAATAGACAAAATAAATTACATTATAACTAGTAAGTATTCAATGGCATGCTTTCTTAACAGTATAGTTTAGCTGAAGGGAAACTGTAGGGAATAAATAAACATTTATTGAACATACACTATATACCAATGAATATGTAGGTCTTTTGCATGCACTGTCTCAGGTTATTCTCAGAAAAAGCCACATGAAGTGAGTATTTTTATCCTCATTTATTTGACAAAAATGTCGGAGTTCAGAAAGTTTACAATGAAAATACTGAACCTAATTCTCCTAAGGAAGACTCCTCAATTTCTTCTTTCTTTTTTTTTTTTTGTTAATCCTCACCCAAGGATCTTTTTCCATTGATTTTTAGAGAGAGTGGGAGGGAAGGAGGGAGGGGGAGAGAGAGAGAGAGAGAGAGAGAGAGAGAGAGAGAAAGAGAGAGAGAGAGAGAAACATCGATGTGAGAGACACATTGACAGGTTGCCTCCCGCACAACCCCAACTGGACCAGGGATCAAACCTGTAAGCCAGGTCTGTGCCCTTGACTGGGAATCAAATCCAAGACCCTTCTGTCTGTGGGCTGATGCTCTAACCACCGAGCAAGTGGTCAGGGCCACAATTCTTTTTTATAATTTTCCCCTTTGATTACTACATGTGCTATTCTTAGAGGGTTTACTCCCCTCAACAAATTTTTAGATACTCCTTCAGAGGAGAAACATTGTAATATAGCAGCCAGCAATACTGGATATCCAATAGTCCATAATTACTTTAGAATCTATTCTGCATGGCTCAGTGTTAGAAAAGGGTCAGTTATAATTTTAAGAAATTTTGGGTTTGTAAATTTTTCAGAAATACTTATTTGAGGGAATATTTTTTACATCTTAGACCATTATTGATGACTCCCTTGTAAAAAAGCTCTAATTCTATAAAGGATCCTTGAGAAAAAAACTAAAAATCTGGGAGTTCCTGCCAAAACTGGTTAATCTGAACCTAATCATGAGAAATATCAGTTGAACTCAACTGAAGGAGATTTTACAAAATAACTGGCCTGAACTCCTCACACATTTCATTTTCATGAAATAAAGACTTGGGAATCATTCCAGATGAAAGAAAACTAAAAAGATATGATAACTAAATGCCATAAATAATCCTAGATTATCTTTTATTATAAAAGATATTGCGCCCTGGCCGGTTTGGTTCAGCAGTTAAAGCGTTGGCCCCTGGACCAAAGAGTCGCGGTTTTATTCCTGTCAAGGGCACATACCTCCATTGTGGTTTGGTCCCTGGCCCAGGTTGGGGTTATGCAGGAGGCAACCAATCAATGTGTCTCTCTCATGTCAATGTTTCTCTTTCTCCCTCCCTCCCATTCTATCTGAAGATAAATGAAGAAATACCCTTGGGTGAGGATTAAAAAAAAAAAAGATATTGCGACAGTTGGCAAAAACCAGTAAGATCTGGAGGCTAGATAATAGTACTGTAAAATCTCTCAATTTTAATAACTAATTATGTAAAGTTCTATTTGTAGGAAATATACACTGAAGTATTTCAAGGCACTTAGTATTAGAGGAGCATTATATCTTCAATTTACTCTTAAGTGGTTATAAAAAGTTACAGGTATGTACATATTTCTATACATATGGGTGTAAGTATACAGAGGGGTGAGAGAGAGCAAGGGGTGAAGAGAGAGCACATGCATGCATGCATAGGGAAAATGCAGTAAACACTGATATTTGGGAATTGGGATGAAGGCTGTACAACACTTCATATTATTTTTTTGCAATTTTTCAGTAAGCCTGAAATTATGCAAAACTAAAATGTTTCAAAATAGGAAAAACATTATATTAGGTGCTATACCCTTGCTTTTAGGTCAGAAAGATTATTACTCTCATGATTATTTTATGTGACATGGCAATGGTAAAAGGATATTGCAGGCATAATTAAGGCCCCTAATTAGTTGGTTGACTTATTCAACAGAAGTTGTCCCTGATGGGGCTGCTAAAGCCGAAAGAAAATGAATTCTGCCAACAACCCCATGAGTTTGGAAGATCCTGAATCTTAGATGAAATTGCAACCCTAACTAATACTTTGCCTGCAGTCTCAGGAGACCCTGAGGCAAGAGCCCAGGTAAACTATACCCAGATTCCTGACACAAAGAAACTGTAAGATATTAAATGGGTATTGTTTTAAACTGATACACTGTAGTAATTTTATTACTCAGCAGTTGAAAACTAATATACACAATAACATACACTCAATTATTCAAATGCAGTATAACCTCACTTTCTGTACTAGACCATATTACACAAAATTGGCAAACTAAGTGATATTTCTTCAATGATATCCATTAAGTTGAAGTTTGTTCTTATAAATGATTATAGTAGATATATTAAATATGCTGCAAACCTTTGTGATCAAGAGTGGGCAAAAGTGGATTTACAGTTGTTTATAATAAATAATACAATAATAAGTAAATAATAATACCAGAATAAATTCTGTTTTGTGAATTCACAACTGTAAATATTTTACTTAAAAATTAACTTCTTAAAATATCATGTATGCTTGAGGAGGATATTTACTCTATCATTAGTGTTAAAGTGTCTTCTCAGATTTTAGAAACTAAGGAGTGACTTTAAGGTGATGGGAAAGGATCAGTGACAATACTATCTGATTAATTTTGTTCCTGGAACATACTCAGATTTGAATGAAGAGGTTCACCAAAAGAAAATCTGTTGTCCTTTGGATTTTCCCCATGTAATTGATTATTGTGTGAGGCCACAAAGGGGCCTTAGAATTGGTGGCTTTAAATTTTTTAATTGTTTTCTATTGCTGATGGGTTGCTTTATTGTTTGAGGATTCAGCCTGAAGTCTAAAAGTATCATCAATAGTCAACCTTCTTCCTCCTGCTTTTCTGTTTATCATACTCTTCCTCAGAAGCTGTTCACTTCTATAGCTTCGAATATTACTTTTATGCTGCTTCTTCATTAGTTTCTATTTTTGACTATTCTTCTTACCTCCTTAGACATTTTTACTTAGACTTTCTGGTGTTACTAAAAAAATCCAAATTTCTAGACTCTCTTGTATTCCTTATTTCTAAAAAAATTACCTACATCTTGCTGGTTACTCATCCTCAGAAACGTCTCCTATTTCTAACTGCCAAAATCTTAACAATCTTCCAAAACTTACATTAAATGTTACTCCATCAAAATAGTTTTCCTGGATCTACCTGGTTCAAATAAATCCCCCCCCCCTTTTTTTTTATAACAAATAGAATTGAGGTTGTACTACATTTAGGGTTCTTATGTTGTTTGCCCTGTAGCTACATATATGCATTCCTTTATCTGTTGTAGTGACTAAATGTTCTGAAAGGTATGTATGGTTTAATCAAGTCTTAAATATCTTTCTTTGCATACCCTTCCACGTTGAGTACCTTATTTCTTTTAATTATGCAATTCTCAAGAATTTAAAAAAAATTACATTTATCAAATAATTTCTTTTGCATCTCATAGGACTTGGTAGATAAAAGGTAAAAGTGAACAGTAGTGGGATAATAACACTTCTCCAAGAACTCAGAGAGCTAATCCGACAAAGTTCAGTATTTTTTGCAGTGTATTTTGCCTCTTGTAAATATAATGGTTGGTGATAAAGAATGGTCTGTTTATATTATAGAAGTAAAGTACAGTAGAGATACTTTAAACTGATCTAATAATATAGGAAATGGATTTTTGTAACACATGTATGTATGTTAGAAATGTATGAGAAATACTAATTGTCCAAACTAAAAAGTGGTGAATAGCTGTAAGTACATATTAACCAAGTGTTTTCTATTATAGAAGGAGTAACATCAAACTTACTTGCAGAAGCATCCCAAAATTTTATTGATCCATCTGCATGACTACATAAAAAATAAATTAGCATTAATTAAAGTATAATAAATAAAAATAATCATTCCAAAAGTATAAAACTTGAGTTACTGTTAAAATTCAATTTAAAAATATTGTTCCAATGAAAACTAGTATACACTAAGTCATTTCTAAGGTCAAAACAATGGTTTATATTTAAAACAAATACATTAAAATCAAAATTTTAAAAAGAACAATAATTGCCCTGGCCGGTTTGGCTCAGCGGTTGGAGCGTTGGCCTGCGGTACAGAGAGACCCGGGTTCGGTTCCCGCTAAGGGCACGTACCTCGGTTGCAGTTTGTCCCCGGCCCTGGTTGGTCGTGCAGGTGGCAGCCACTCGATGTGTCCCTTCACGTCAATGTTTCTCTCTCTCTCTCTCTTCCTCTCTCTCCCTCCCGCTCTATCTGAACAAAAAAATGGAAAAGTTTCCTCGGGTGAGGATAAAAACAAAACAAAACAAAACAAACAAAAAAAAGAACAATAATTACTTAGATTTTATTCTAAGAAGATTTTTTGTGTAATAGAGAGCAATGAAAAATGACCTGTGGGAAAAAACAATATTTTAAAATATAAAATTGTTTACACGCAATAAAAAAGATACTTGAGGTGATTTTGATTATATCAAAATAATGTTGAAATTAATATCATGGTGAAATTAATATCATGGTGAAATTAAAATTAAGGTTCAAATTATAAAAATCAAATCCTTAAACCTATCCAGATTATTATTATTTTTTGGCAATAATATAATAGCAATTCTATAAGAACTCACCAAGAAAATAAGAGAAAATACTTCCCAACACATTTTATGAGGTAAGCTTTGTCCTGACACCAAAACCAGAAAAACCATTACAAAAAAAGAAAATTACAATCCAATATTACTCAAGCATGGGCATAAAAACTTTCAACAAAATATTAGCAAATCAAATGAAGGAATAAATAGAAAAGATCATATACCATAACTAGGTGCAATTTGTCTTAGGAATGCAAGGCCAGTTAAACATTAAAAAAAAAAAAAATCAATCACCATATTGAAATTCATCATACTGAAAGATTAAAAAAGAAAAACCACATGATCATCTCAATAAATGCAGAAAAAACCGTTGAAAACAATTACCATCCATTCTTGAAAAATAAACTTAACAAACTAGGAACAGGAAACTTCTTCAACCTGCTAAAGAGCACCTAGGAACAACCTACAGATTCCACATAACAGTGAAATCATATGGTATCTGTCTTTATCTGACTTATTTCACTTAACATAGTACTCTTTTGGTCCATCCATGTTATTGCAAATGGCAAGATTTCATTCTTTTTCATGGCTAATATTCCATTGTCTATATATACTACATCTTCTTTATCCATTCATCTATTGATAGACTAGGTTGCTTCCATATCGTGGGTATTATGAATAATGCTGCAATGAACATAGGGGTGCTATATAGTTTTTCAAATTATTGTTTTCATTTCCTTAAATAAATACCCAGAAGTGGAATTGCTGGATCATATGATAGTTCTAGTTTTAATTTTCAGAAGAATCTCCATACTGTTTTCCATAGTAACTCACTAATTTAAAATCCCAAGTGCCATGGCCGGTTTGGCTCAGCAGTTAGAGCATCAGCCTGCGCCTGGAGAGTCCCAGGTTCGGTTCCTATAAGGGCACGTACCTCGGTTTCAGTTAGTGCCCGATCCTGGATGGGGTCATGTGGGTGGCAACCAGTCGATGTGCGTCTCTCTCTCTCCTTCCCCCTCTCTTCCTCGCACTCTATCTGAAGTTAAAAACAAAACAAAACAAAAAATGTCCTCGGGTGAGGATAAAAAATAAATAAATAAATAAATAAAATCCCACCAAGTGCACAAGGGTTCCCTTTTCTCAACATCTTTGCCAACACTCTTTTATAATAATAAAATGTCTTTTTTTTTAAATAATACCCATCCTCACAGATATCAGGGGATATCTTATAGTTTTGATTTGCATTGTCTGATGACTAGTGACGTTGAGCATCTTTTCTTTTTTAAAAAATTTATTTATTTTAATGTAATTAATTAATTTATTTTTTTTAGATGTTTCTCCTTTTTTCCGCATCGACACCCTTCTCCCCCTCCCTCCCTGCCTCGTCCCCAACTTTGTTGTCCATGTCCATTGGTTATGCGTGCATGCATATAAGTTCTGTGGTTTTTCTCCCCCGTGCCTCCCATCTCCTTTTCTGGGGATTGTCAGTCTATACCCAACTTCCACGTCTCTGGGACTACCCTGTTCTTCAGACTGTTATGTTCATTATATTCCAGTAGTAGGTGAGATTATGTGCTGTTTGTCTTTCTCTGATTGGCTTATTTCACTTAGCATAATACTCTCCAGGTCCCTCCATGTCGTCTCAAAGGATAAGAGATCTTTCTTTCTTACAGCTGCATAGTACTCCATTGTGTATATGTACCACTGCTTTTTTATCCATTTGTCTACTGATGGACACTTGGGCTGTTTCCAGATGTTAGCTATTGTAAATAGTGATGCTATAAACATAAGGGTACCTATATTCTTTCTGATTGGTGTTTCAGGCTTCTTAGGATATATTCCTAGAAGTGGGATCACTGGGTCAAATGGGAGTTTAATTTTTAATTTTTGAAGTAACACTATAGTGTTTTCCATAGTGGCTGCACCAGTTTGCATTCCCACCAGCAGTGTACTAGAGACCCCTTTTCTCTACACCCTCACCAACACTTGTTGTTTGATGCTTTGTTGATGGCGGCCATTCTGACAGGTGTGAGGTGATACCTCATTGTTGTTTTAATTTGCATCTCTCTGATGATTAGTGATGTTGAGCATTTCTTCATGTGTATCTTGGCCATTTGTATGTCCTGTTTGGAGAGGTGTCTATTTAGCTCCTCTGCCCATTTTTTAATTGGGTTCTTTGTCTTCCTTTTGTTGAGTTGTATGAGTACTCTATATATTTTGAAAATTAACCCCTTATCTGATGTATCATTGGCAATGATGTTCTCCCATACAGTGGGTTGCCTTTCCATTTTTTTTTTTTATCCTCACCGGAGGACATTTTTCCATTTTTTGTTCAGATAGAATGGGGAGTGGGGGGAAGAGGGAAAGAGAGCAAGAAACATCGATGTAAAAGGGACATATCGAACCCTGGCCGGTTTGGCTCAGCGGTTGGAGCGTCGGCCTGTGGTCCGGAGAGACCCGGGTTCGGTTCCCGCTAAGGGCACGTACTTCGGTTGCAGTTTGTCCCCGGCCCTGGTTGGTCGTGCGGTGGCAGCCACTCGATGCGTCCCTTCATGTCGATGTTTCTCTCACTCTCTCTCTCTTCCTCTCTCTCCCTCCCACTCTATCGGTACAAAAAATGGAAAAATATCCTCGGGTGAGGATAAAAAAAAAGGGACATTTGAGTGGCTGCCACCTGCACGACCAACCAGGGCCAGGGACAAATTGCAATGGAGGTACATGCCCTTAGTGGGAATCGAACCCGGGTGTCTCTTGACTGCAGGCCCACACTCCAACCACTGAGCCAATCCGGCCAGGGCACCTTTCCATTTTGATGGTTGTTTCATTTGCTGTGCAGAAGCTTTTGAATTTGATATAGTCCCATGTGTTCATTTTTTCCTTTGTTTCTGTTGCCTTAGGTGATGTATCAGTGAAAATTCTGTTGCGTAGGATGTCTGAAATTTTGTTGCCTATATTTTCTTCTAGGCTTTTTATGGATTCACAGGTCACATTTAAGTCTTTTATCCATTTTGAGTTTATTTTTGTGTATGGTGTAAGTTGATGGTCTAGTGTCATTTTTTTGCATGTAGCTGTCCAGTTTTCCCAAACCCATTTATTAAAGAGGCTGTCTTTACTCATTGTATGATCTTGCCACTTTTGTCAAATATTAATTGAGCATAATGTTTTGGGTCCATTTCTGAGTTCTCTGTTCCATTCCATTGATCTATGTGCCTGTACTTGTGTCAGTACCAGGCTGTTTTGATTACAGTAGCTTTGTAGTATAACCTGATATCTGGTAATGTGATCTCGCCTACTTTGTTCTTCTTTTTCAAGATTGCTGTGGCTATTAGGAGTCTTTTTGATTCCATATAAACTTTGAAGCATTTGTTCTAGTTCTGTGACGTATGTCGTTGGTATTTTGATGGGGATTGCATTGAATCTATAGATTGCTTTGGGTAGTATGGACATTTTTTTTTTTTTTTTTTTATTTTTTTTTTTTAATCCTCACCCGAGGACATTTTTCCATTTTTTGTTCAGGTAGAGTGGGAGGGAGAGAGAGGAACAGAGAGAGAGAAACATCGATGTGAAGGGACACATCGAGTGGTTGCCACCCGCACAACCGACCAGGGCCGGGGACAAACTGCAACCGAGGTACGTGCCCTTAGCGGGAACCGAACCCGGGTCTCTCAGGACCGCAGGCCGACGCTCTAACCGCTGAGCCAAACCGGCCAGGGCGACATTTTAATGATGTTATTTCTTCTAATCCATGAACCAGGTTGTGCTTCCACTTTTTTATATCTTCCTCTATTTCTTTTTTCAATGTCCTGTAGTTTTCTATAATAAGTCCTTTACTTCTTTGGTTAAGTTTATTCCTAGGTATCTTAATTTTTTTGCTGCGATGGTAAATGGGATTTTTTTTTTTTTTAGTTTTTCTTTCTGTGAGTTCATCATTGGTGTATAAGAATGCCATCAATTTCTTGACATTAATTTTGTATCCTGCTACTCTGCCCAATTCATTTATTAAGTCTAGTAGATTTTTGATGGAGTCTTTAGGGTTTTCTGTGTATAATATCATGTCATCTGCAAATAATGACAGTTTCACTTCCTCCTTTCCAATTTGGATCCTTTTTATTTTTTCTTCATGTCTGATTGCTGTGGCTAAGACTTCCAGTACTATGTTAAATAAGCGTAACAAAAGTGGGCATCCCTGTCTTGTTCCTGTCCTTAAGGAAAATGCTTTTGCTTTTTGTCCATTGAGTATGATGTTGGCTGTAGGTCATT